AAAACAGAGGGTGCATGAATGCGGTTTTGCGGTAAGTGAAATTTGAGTACTTTATTTATGTGTTGTTTATGTTTTTAGTCAGCTAACGTTAATGATTGTTAAGGCTTGGTTTAGCATGTAGTAAGCAAGTGGTAGCTACATCTGTGCTAACGATGCTAATAGTAGCCTCCAAGTTCAAACGAAATAGAGAAGTGTTAAGCATTAAGTGGGATAATACTGTAGAACAAACGGCTTCTGTTTGAGGTTGGTAAAATAACGTCAACCTTATAAGTTAGAGATATTTTATTAGGTAGGTAACTTTATGCATCGATAAGGACATTTAAAGGTGGGGTAGGTAAGTTTGAGAAACCGGCTCGAGATACACTTTTTGTTATATTCCATGGAATTCTCTTAACATCCCGATAGCAATGAATATCTGAAGTGCTTTGACAAAAAAATGCATTACAAAAATGTCATCTGTGGAAGCCGTAGTACTGTAAAAAGCACGACCAATCATCTGAGCCGGCCCGGCTAAAATAACTGGATGGCCTACCTGCCTGTCAGCCTTCCATCTGTGCACACTGCACAAACTTACCTCGTGCCCTCATTGGTCATGTTCGTGTGTGTTGGAGGAGGTGCTCTGTAAGGAAGTGGCAGATTTTGTCCGGTGGTGTATTTTCTAATTCTTGCGCACTCGAGCTGGTTTCTCCAAAATTACCTACCCCACCTTTAAATTTGCTATGATCGATTATGTAGACAAGCTAACGTCAAAGTAGTGTTGAAGAGTGGCTTAGTGTATGTGAAATCAACCTCACAATAAGATGTGTGTATATTACAAATATTCAGTCATATTTCAAGTTGATTACTTAGATATTACAATATGGTTTGTTGAGCTGGAGTTCATTATTGAGCTTACACGTTAACGTCACAGTCATATCTGAAGAACGAACCCAAACCTTGTTGTTTTTATTTAATTGCATTACCAAATTGGTATTGAATAAATAGTAAGCATTGGTAATACCAATGCTGATAAAGTAAACTATTATAAACTTTATTTGAGTATTTGTGTCTGGGAGAAGGTACTGTACCCAGTTGCGGCAGTTCCTATGTTCGGCAGTTATAGACTGGGCTTTCTTGTACACAAAAAAAAATTAATATGGACCATTACTGTATAATTATCCTTAAATGATGTTATACAATGCACCTAATAAACAAGTATGGCCTTTTGAAACATGATGTGCAACAATTGTTACTGTAATTTGTGTGCATGTTGTTGTTGTTAATTAAGATGATGTTATGATTTATTTGTTGTTACTATGCACGTGGACGCTTTGGACATATCTGGAGAAGGAAGAAATGGGTCTTCGGAAAGATGGGAGTTAAAGACAAAAGGCGGAGACTAGTGTTGAAACTAGTGGAGAAACGATCAAGATGCCACCTTGTCCCTCTGATTAGACGGCTTGTTAAGTCAGGAAGTAGCATTATTAGTGATGAGTGGAGGGCATACAGGAGAGTGCTGAGTAACATGGGATACAACCACTACACCAGCATTGCCCAGTACGTCGACCGCGGGGGCAATGCTGGTAGATCGCGAGTCATTCTTATAAAAAAAAAAAATCCAGCTCCATTAAAATAGACAAAACAGATCCCTCCTCCCTTGGCCTCCCTGCCACTTAATTCAAGAGTTTACTTGATTGACAGAAAAAGCGACCTATCGCTTTCCAGTCTGTTAACCCAGAATGCAAAGCGATACAAAATCAGTCAAGTGCCGGGTGTTGTGGAAATATTTTCCAAGGCCCATAACTTTGACCCAGTTTATCAGTTCAAACTGTCCTGACTGAGCACAGGCACCTGTAACCTTGGCTGCTGTGCTCTCAGTGTTTTGTCTCCCTGTTCCTGCCTGTTGGCGTCAGCTGATAGAGGTGTTATCATTCTATCTTGTTATGCAGCATGTTGATGATGCTCTCTGAACTAGCTAAATACACGGGTCTGGGGTAGAGTTCTTCAGAATTGATGTGGCAACTCTACCGTGAAGTCAGAACCTCTGACTCTTGGACTTGTGATGTGAATCCTCCGGCCGTTAACTCCAAATAAACCATCATGTGTTTGACATCAAAGCTACTGCTCTTCCCGTGTCTCCTTCCTGAGTCGGTGACTCCCACTGCATAGCTACACAGAAGTTTCCTCTACACCGGGAAAACTCAAATTAAGTTAAAGAGACAAACAAGAGACAAACAACAAAATGAGTGCAGGACCGAGCAAGAAGCTAAAGACAAACCACTTCCACCCAGAATGGGAGGAAGAATATTTTGTTGTGATGTCACATTCAAAGGTTATTTGCCTTATTTGTAAAGCAAGCGTCGCTCTGCCAAAGAAAGGTAACGTGGAGAGGCATTATCGGAGTGTTCACAAGGCATAGCAGCGACTTCCCTCCGAGTAGCGAGTTGAGAATGAGAAAGGTCATGTATTATTGCTACAATAACATTATCTCGCAGTCTTAGTGTCGCCAACTCGTTTCTAACATGCAAAAAGACAAACAAATGCGTCTATGTTCAGTGTATTTTCGATCTTTCCAATCGAGATGAGATCTCTCTCTCCCCCGTCTGTGTGCGAGGGGGCGGGGCAGTTTACACACAGGCAGCTGCTACATGCAGCAACACACGGAGGGGATGGCGGAGAGAAGCGCTCCAAGGTGTGGTTAAATGTTACCCGTCTTGAGGCGGACAATGCTCCTTGCCAAGAGAGTTCAGCATGTAAGGGCGGTAACACGAGCAATGTGTCTAAACATTTAGCAAAAGTGCACCACATTCAGACGGAGGAATGCACCGGGTTCCACTGTGTTTCTAGTAGCTCTGTAGCCCCCCCCCCCATCCACGAGTAACGTTTCCACGTCAGGTGTTATGTATGCTAGCAGCAACACACGGAGTTAACTCAATGATTCAAACATGGGTTAATGATTAGAGGTAACTGAGTTACTCTTTATTTTGTTAAAGTTTCAGCTATTCTGTTCACAGTTCTGTCATCAGATTATTTAATACGATTTGTTAAAACATTGTTGTTTCTTTTGATGTGAAATATTATTTATTTAATTTAAATAAAAAGCAATGTTAATTTTGTTCACAATTTGTTAAGTTAATTTAATAATATATGTATTTTTGAATCAAGTATTCATCTTTATTGTCTTCATTGCTAGTTTCCACATGCCTAAAACAACCTCAAGCTAAATCTAAAAGTTGATAAATAAATAAGAGCATTTGAGAAATTGTGCAAGGCATACAGTAATAGTCCGAATAGTCGATTAATCGTTTCATTAATCGATAGATTAATCGATTATCAAATTAGTCGTTTGTTGCAGCCCTATTATATATAGTTATCCCATGGATAAATAAAACGTGTTATTCAGCAACCCTTGCAATTTGGGATTTTATTTTTGGTTGGTAGACCTCGGTGAGCTGGTCATTTCAAAAGTAGCTCACCAGCCAAAAAAGTGTGGGCACCCCTGCACTACACCATAAACCACAGCAGTATTCAACATATAGAAAGAGCTAGGTCGACCGTCAAAGGACATGTCCGTAGACTGAGAGGAAACCGTACAGAGAGTTTGTTGGAGGAACACCTCAAGGTTCTTGAATGGTCATCTTGGCTCTGCTCACCCTGATGGACTGCTTGGACGCTTGTTCAAGGATATACACAAAGCCTTTCCAGTCTGAGTACCATTACTGTATGTCTTACCAAGTCTTTCATTTATGTCTGAGAAAAGCTTTTATGTTTAAATATGTATATCAGTCATTACTTTGAGTCCTGATTTTCTTCATGTGTGAATAAAATGTTTTGCTTGGTTCTGTTGCATCTTACTTTGCATTTCATGTGAAAAATGTGTATTAGGTCAGCGTGAATGTTATAACTCATTCATACATGGACATGTGTATTAAACTTAAAAACAACGCACCCTTTCAGTAGTTATAAATGTTAGTGACTCATCAATAGATGGTGATGTGTTTCACACTTTACAATAAGGCTCCCTTTTACCAATTATAAATGTTATAACTCATTCATAAATGGTCATAAGAGATGCCAATAAACATCAAGATGGATGGGGGAGAATCAACTCAGTGAACAACAGATACCAAGGATGCTGGCTGAGGAAGAAGACGAAGTAAGCTAGGTAGCCAATATAAGGCTTAGCAGTACAGATAAATGTGGGCTCACTATTTGGCAAGCAACCGGTCACAGTTGCCCTGTTTATCTCATGTCTTATAAAAGCTTATTAATGATTTATAAAGTGTTCACAACCTAATTAATAAATGAATTACAAACTATTCGTAAACCCTTTATAAGTGTAGTCTTATTGTAAAGTGGTACCAACAAAGGTATAACTTTGGCGGAAAAAATCGCTTTAAGAGTTTCTTGACTGATGGTTGATTGATACTCAATAATTATGCATAGTCATACATTTACAAAAGTAAGACAACCACAGATGCCCATGATATATAAAATAACTCTAGCCATGTCCCCATCAATCATGGGACACAAGATAAAGTAAGCTGCATTGAGCAGAGTTTCAAACACACACTAAAAATGACTGATGGCATCGATTGTATTTAGATATTATGTATTTGTTATAGCACTAGAAATATTGATGGTTATTTCTCAGTTATTAGAGACAAACCAACCCAATCTCAAAATGTGTTGCTAGTGGAGCGGCTCAAGCATCATTTGGTAGACCACTCCACTGTAAACTGTACACCGCAATTTCTGCTTACCCACCTCTCTGAAGCTTAACAATAAACAATTAATGAAATGATATATTGTTTGTTCAATATATGGAAAAACTGAAATGACTATGTAGCATTATTCGAGTCAAGCTGGCTGTTTCCAGGCTTCATTTTAAGCTAAGAGAGTGGTATCATCCAACTGTGCAAAAAGATAAATATGTGAATTTCCCAAAATGACACTTTTTTTTTTACTTTGTATGTCTTTTAAAAAACACATACGTTGAGATATTTATAGAAAGGTCTTACCTTAACCTCCTCCAGGTGTGCCTGTATTTCCTCCCGCTCTTGACGGCAGAGAGTGAGATTGTCCTGCACTTCACGATACTTCTTGGTCCTGGTGTCCTCCATCATGGCCCTCGTATTGTCCAGTTCTGTCTGATGCACCTCTCTCTCCAGCTGCAGCTGCTGCCCCACTGCGGCCCGCTCCTCCTGCACGGCTGTCAGCTTGGCCTGGAGCTCCAACAAGCCTTTCTGGAGCGCCTTCTTGGAGCTCTCCTCCTCGGCCAATAGCTGGACTAGCCGAGAATGGGCCGAAGTCATCTGCTTCATTGAGGCCTGGAGCTCGGCCTGTGTATCCTGGTCTCTCTGACAACGACGGGCTAGGCTGTCAGCTTTTTCTTCCAGACTCTGGTTCTCTTCCTTCAGCCGTGTCTGGACAGCAGCCAGACGCTGAGTCTCCTCCTCCAGGGCGGCAGAGGCCTCCCGCACCTAGGGTTAGGATCTGTTAGAATCTGATCAAAGCTCTTTAAATGACTCTAGCTGAGCTTTAATACTTTTTTTACTTACAGCACATCAAACTAAACATGACATGACAAATTGGTCTGCCAAATAAATGTAAATCAAAGTTTAAGCTGCGTCTGAGGCCACAGCGGGATTTGCCTAAACAAACAGAATCATTTCTAAGTATTTCAGAAAATAATTGATATGTTAACTTTGGCACAACTTCAATATTTGCTGACAGCTAAAAGGTGTTACCATTGCATTACATCTAAAAAGCATACTTCAAAGTTTGATTCAACCTTTAGGCTTTTGAAACTCGTCACATATCAATAAATTAGACTTGTAACCTGCTAAAGTCAACATTTAAAGGGGACACATGACGCTCATTTATGGGTTCATATTTGTAAATGGTTTTCTTTATAGAACAAGTTTAAATGCCTTATTGTTCAAACACACTTTATTTGTCCTCTTCTGTCTGTTTGAATATATTTGTATTAACTGTCTGTATGAAATGCTCGGTTTAAACACTGTCTCTTTAAGGCCGACTCCTAAAGAGCAATGTCTTGCGGTATATTCTAATGAGCCTTAATGTGATTTAGTTAGGGGATCCCGAATGTGATTGGCTTGTTGAATCCCATGTTTTTTGATAGATGTAGCCACAAAAAGCAACAGGGTTGTGTTATTTCATAGTTTGAGGGTCGAACGGCTGAAAGATCTCACTTTTAATAATATACTGGATTCACATCCCTGAACAGTAAATATAAATTCTTACCGTCAAATCGGAGATTCAGGGTCACACGATTTAATAAGGTTAGACTGAAGCACTCAACGAAAACATTTCCCAATTCGGGATCAATAAAGTATATCTTATCTTTATCTTATGTGCACTAGTCAATCTGAAACTAAAATATGGAGTTCAATCCCAAATGAAGTGATTGAATGTAAAGTAAAAGGACTTTAATATGTGTCCTTATTGGTGTTATAAATGGAGCTGCTCAGACAAATAGTATCATATTGCTGAAGGTCCTATAGTTAAATAAAAAATGAATAATGTTTGGTCCCTAGTGAGTTGGATAGGTGTTTTGGATTTCCAGGTGTTCAGCCTAGTACCTCCCGGTTGTCCTGTTCCAGGGACAGCTGGCGCTGGCGGGCTTCAGACAGCTCCACGTCCTTGCGGTGGAGCTCTTCCTCGCGCTGAGCCAAGCGGCCTAGGATTTCGGCGAGCTCCCTGCGGGCTGCCTCAGTCTGCTGGCTCAGCGCCTTCAGCTGAGCCTGAGAGCTCTCTTTTTCCCTAGCTGCCTGGAGGGAGAAAGAGGGAGAGGGGGTGGGAGAAGAGACGGTAAATGAAGAATGACAAATGAAGAGGAGGCGGAATATGGTGTACAAAAAGGAGCTCTGACAATAACGAGGAGAGCGAGAGAAAGAGTGACAGAGAGACAGAGGCAGAGAAACATATGCCGTACCAGCTTTTGGCACTGATAGGAAAATGCTAGCACTCAGCTCTCTGATAAGGGACAATGGTCAGGTCTGTTCAAGGCAGATTGCTTCTAATACTCTGGCTTTGACTGGAATTTGCAAAGACTTTGCTAAAGCTCAGAACCTAATCATTTAATTGAGCACTTGATTCTCTCCCCTAATTCATTAAGGGGGTAGAAATGATTTTGTAATGAATTTGCGTCACGTCGAGTATGCCAGGTGGGAGTGTGTCAGCCTGTCTGTCATGTCGGTGAAGCTGCTGACTGCGAGTTTGGAGGTGACTCACTCAGTTCAAATGGAATGGAAATAACTAGGAGGTGACTTTCAAGACGATAATAATTGTCAGCCGGTAATTATTCAACTAAGCACAGCTGCTTAAACACACCATACAAAAGGTACTACTTAATTTTATATTTTGTTATATTCTCATTCAATTAATTCAGAATACATTATTCAAGAGAATTAATCTGACCTTTGATATAAAACCCTCTATGCTTTACAGATACAACAAAAGTACAAAATGAACAGACAAAGGCTTGCATATGTATTCAATCACTTTGCTGTGTTTGGGTTGAATTGCGCCATTAATGAAAAGCTCCAGGATATTCCACATCACTTATAATGGTCTGCCTTATTCTGTTTTGAGTAGTTCTAAAAAGCACACCATAGTTTCCTTTCAAACTGAGACCTTCTTTTCATGGATGAATATGCATTGCAGCAATAAATGTGTTTTTATCTCCTGCTCTTGAAGATTTAGTGTCTTTACTGTTTCCACGTCTTAAGGTTCAAAAAGCTCTTTATTGTCCTCGTACTACCTGCGCTGCAGCACCTCTTTTCACCCTCTGTCTGAAACCAGAGCCCAGTCTGCTCTGATTGGCTAGCTGGCCGGCTCTGTTGTGATTGGTCAACCGCTTAGAGATGTCCAGCCCCTTAGCCTATCAAGTACAATGTGTTGGAGTGCTAGCCAATAGAAGTTCAAGGGTCGGGGGTGTGGGAGAGAAACTCCCTCAGGAGGGAACATGGGGGTTTTATTCTTTGCAGACCATTAACATGCACTAAAACCTATATAAAACACTACAAGAAAGGGAAAAAAGGATAATAGAAGTAGAGAAGGTGCTGGTCTTAAATATTATACGTTTGGAGAATTTCCCCCCATGATAGGAAGGTGTTGATGTATTTTCTCAAAAACAGTAATATAATATGCAACAAAGGAAGGAGCCTAAACCATTGCCTAAAACACAAAGTTGCTAAGAAATATTGCAAATAAACACAATCCATAATGTTTGTCCTTATTCTAAAATGATTGTGTATTCCTGGAGCTAGTTGTAGCGCTCCAAGTTTGCTTCCACTGATGTATTCTGACGTCAGTGCAGAACTACAGAGTTGGGCTGAGATGAGGTTTGTTCATGCTGCTTGCCTGGACAGATCCGGCTACAACTGGAGTAGGGAAATGCATTTCAGTACATTTTTGATCACAACACAAAAAGGCAAAGAAGGTATGCACGTAACACAGAAGAAGAGTCAGTTGTTGTTGTTGACAGTGCCAACAGATGGCTGGCTAGCTACAAGCTCAGCCAGCAGCAGCAGCAGCAGAAAGATCCGGAACATTTGATACACTGCTGCTGGGAGCCCATGAGTAACGTTGACGTATATGAACTGCAGTTGCCCACCAGCACAAACTGATACCTGGTCAATAAAACAGTGACAGATACCACGGTCCGGCAAACTTTTGCTGGATTCTGTGCAACCTCTGTGAGTTTCTACTTCGTTCAAAGATAAACTAAAAGGAACACATATTGCCAACAGGGACAGAGAAGCAGCGGATAACGTGGCGATGTTTTCTGACTATAGTGGTTCCAGACAAAGTTTAAAAATAATAGTTGTTCTTGCCTGCAGTGCCATAACTCTGTTTATTGTATCTACAAAGTATACTGTACAGTGTTCCTGCAGCTTCCTTAGAGGCTTTACCATCATAGAAACATAAGCTTATCTGCACTGTAGGACAACGTTTCTTAACAGACGAATGGCACTTTCTCTGTCTATATGAATGGTGCTAAATTGGTTTTGGTTTTAAAAAAGGCCTGAAATGCCTCGATTAGATTCCTTTCTTCGTAACAAGGTGACATAACTATGTAACATTCATGCTTCTAATGGCTAGCACTCACATTGTACGTGATAGGCATACATGTGATACAAGTGGTGGGACATATCTGTACCTCTATTATGTTTTGGGGGGGTTTTCTCTTTCCTCTAGTGTGTAAAGGGTCTGCAAAGGCTAAAATCTCTAAGTTCCCTCCAGAAGGAGTTTCTTTCCCACACACACCCCCACCCCCCCCCACCCCCCCCGCTAACCAACCAGAGCAGACTGGGCTCTGGTTTCAGAGAGAGGGGAAAAGAGGTGACGCAGCACAGGCAGTATGAGAAAAATAAAGCACTTTTTGAACATGTCGGAAGAAGCGCAATATACAGATATGAAACTTTCAAAAAGTGCACATGTACTCTTGAACTTTAACATGTCCTTTTTTTTTGTGTCAACCTACTTTGTACACAGACTGGACATCAAAATAATCTGATGCAAAATTGTGCTTGAGAGAGACAATTCTTATTACTGCACTACCTAAAATGTAGGGGATTTAATGATCAAAATGGAAGCAGTGAACACTGAGACATGTCCCTAGTATCATTCAAAGTCCAAAAACCCTACATTTCACATAATGCAACTAAAAAGCTCCTTTTATTATATCTCCCCTGCTTCCAAGATGCCCACTTATTTCAAACCCTGCTCTTGAGTGTAACTTTTATATTTGTGTTTTAATTACTCTCAAGGCTAAGCTGAGATAACCATGTTGACATCATCAGGGTTATTTATGAAAGCTCCAAGCAAAACCACAGAAGACTTAATCCAACAGTCTTCACAGGCTCTCCTTGGGACAGTAACGTCATTTTCATGAGTAAAAATAGTGGATTGTCCCTTATAAGCATTTGAAAATGACTTTGTCAATTCCCCTAAAGCACTAGCAATGTCTGAAAAATAGGGCAGATGAGTTGACTAGAACGAAATGTGTTTTTTATTTCAATGTGGAAATACATACTTCTATAGACCAGCAGTTACTTAGCCACAGCTGCTACAGGAGAAGGTGGTGTCAAAAGTCGTGTAATGAATGCGTCTGCCTGAACTGACCTGCGAGGCCTTGTCGGTGTGAAATTGAGCCTGGGAGCTCGCCTCCTCCAGTTCCTTCTGCAATCTCCTGCACTTTGCCCTCCACTGGCGCACAGCCTCCTGGGCCCTGCTCTTTAATTCCTCTCTGCTCCTCGTGCTCTCCTGGAGTAGAGCCTCCGTCTCCCTCCTCTCTGCCTGTCCTCGGCTCTGAAAGGATGAAGACATGTACAAAAAAATGTCAATTCATTTCAAACATTTTAAATATGTGTATTGAGCTGATCTTCAAATGTCTCACAGACATTTACATTTTGATAGAGAAATCAACTACACACAAATTGCTTCCAATTTAATGTGCCACTAGGAATTGATTTTAATTATCAGATGAGATGCATTAATCAACAAAAATAATTACCTGCGTTTCTTTTAACTGATCCAGCATTCGGAGCTGCTGCTGTTCCCGCCGCGGCAGGTCTGATGACAATTCCTAATATAAAGGAAATAGAAAGGTCAAGGACGTGTGAGTGAGTGAGTGAGTGAGTGAGTGAGTGTTAGGGCTGCTCGATTATGGCAAAAATCATAATCTCGATTATTTGGGTCAATAATTGATATCACGATTATTAAAAACGATTATCCATTTATTTACTAAACATTTTTTAACAGTATGTTTTTAACAGCTGATTACCCTGAACTTTAAGTATGATTCAACTGAAAAAATTAATAATACAAAAAATAATCGTTTTATTTCGATTACGTTGTTTTCGTTGCAAGCCATAATCGTAATTGCGATTAAAATACGATGAATTGAGCAGCCCTAGTGTGTGTGGCCTAGCATTACTATACTTGTGGGGACCTACATCTGTTTACACAGTCACGTGTGGGGACTCGCCTCCCTTATGGGGACAACATGGAGGTCCCCATGAGGGGAATCATTAATTTTAGGGTGAAGACTTGGTTAGGTTTAGGGTACGGTTAAGGGTAAGGGTAAGGCTAAGGGTTAGGGTTAGGCATGTGTTGGTTATGGTTAGGATAAGTCTCCAGGAAATGCATGTAAGTCAATGTAATGTCCCCTGAAGTGATATATACATGGTGTGTGTGTGTGTGTGTGTGTGTGTGTGTGTGTGTGTGTGTGTGTGTGTGTGTGTGTGTGTGTGTGTGTGTGTGTGTGTGTGTGTGTGTGTGTGTGTGTGTGTGTGTGTGTGTGTGTGTGTGTGTGTGTGTGTGTGTGTGTGTGTAACTACTCCTGCTGCTAATGGGAGGAAAAAGAAACAGAGGCGAGAGAAAGAGAGAAAGAGAGACATTGGGCTGTGGAGCAATGAGTTTAAATGTAAAAATGGTAATAACGAGTAGTAGCGACAAAGAATAATATTTAAATATGGGGGTCATTTTTCTCAAGCTGTATTATACCAAGTCATATGAGAACAGAAACAAACCTTTACTATATCGTGAACAGACATACCCCGTTAAATTGACGAATACTAGTTAAATGTGCCATGTGTGAAGAAGCTTGCCAACATATGTATATCTGTGTATTGGGGATTGTTTATAATAATTCAATATATTGCAAAACTATAAGCCAGGCATTATATTGAGATAGTATAAAAAAAACACACTACTGATCTGAATCTTACATTTTAATACAATCAGAGCCACCGTCTGACACATGTAATATCCCTGCATTTAAACCAATGATTAAAAGTAGATGGAGTGACAGATGTTCTTTTACATCCATATACACAGTACTTTAAATAGTCGAGCTAACGGTATGGGATGTGTGCAAACTTTTAAAGTGAACACATTTTGGAACATTTATATTTTCAATAAAGAATTAACACTTGAATTGAATGGGAAGCTTTAACCAACATATGCCATTAGACCCTCCGCCTAATATGTATGTGTATTTCAAAAATAAACTCAAAAAGGTAACATTTTATATTAAAACGTCTGGAATGTACCCTTGAAAGATTGAAAGAGAGAAAAGACAAAAAGAGAATTAATGTTGTAAAAAGGAAGAAAGGTTTGAGAGATCTTTAGAAAAGATCAACAGCTAAGGTCAGGTGTATAGCCGGCTAAGAAGGTGGCAGAGGGCGAAGACAAAAAGGTCAAAGAAGGTGGAGGCTGTGTTTACATTCTGCCTACAAATGGATTATCTGCAAGGCTGGTCTGAGGGAAGTCTGAAAGGAGAGTTGATTAACTTCGTATCCAGCAGAAAATCACAATCACTTTGAGGTTTGATTGAAGTCGTGCAGGGCAAGTAAGGTTAGCCTTGTGTGGTTTAAGGTATTGATACAAAGTAAGACTGCCAGTCAGGAGTCATTAGTCATAGGTCTAATGACTGTCTATATATTCAGTCACTGAGAAATTGAATCTTTTGCTGTATTCTCCTCATTATACTTCATTTTTGCTCATTTACCGATTAAATAAAAAACATCCGACGTCTGTTTTGATCTAGACATGAAAACCATACGAGACGCTCCAGGTGATACCTGCAAACACCCACTTCATCTTTTAACACCTACTCTGCGATAGGGGAAACGTGGGAGTTTAAACACATTTTCAGTTAGGGAAGCATTCGAGATCAGAGGAATGTGCCAATGCTTAAAGAGCAGCTATTGCTTCTGACATTGTATTGATACAGCCCTGAATACCCACTGCTAAGCAAGTTCATTTTATTTAAAGATTATTTTTTTGTATGTGTTGTTACAGTGATGGAAGTGACACATTGCATGGGTCTGTGAAGGATAGATGACTGCTGGCTGACTTCTGATCTGCTACTCCGACTGTCATGTGGCCATTTTAAGAGGATCAAGTGGCGCAGAGCTGGCGGAGGGTGTGATCACGGATGAGAGGAAACCGACAAACTGATATAACCCTGCACAGGCGTCGGGGCGCCGACACGGGCTAAGACAAAAGCTTCTGCTGTGGTTTAAAGAGTCTCTTTTATGCTTTTAGGGGTTTTCACTTTTTGGGCTTTCCCTTTCCTGTCGTGTGATATTTTTTGGTGCATGTAAATGGTGGGATTTTCTCTCCCCCCCCTCCCCCAATGTTCTATTACTAACAAAGTCACACCACAGCTCAACAATTATTAGCATGAATGAAAATGAAAATAAATAACCCTTTGTTGCTTACAAACTCTCCTACTCTAAACTACAGATCATGAAAAGAAAAAGATAACAAATGAGGAATGTTGTGAGTTATGCACTTAAGTTTAATCTATTATCTTTCTTCACTTTGGTTGCTGTGGTGTTGAGACGTATCAGATCAGTGGATCTGCTACAGCATCCAATCAGTAACTGATACACAGTGAGCAGGCGTGTTGGCCGTAAAGGATTTCACAAAGGAGGTTCCTCGCTCCTTGATCCCCGCTCACAAATAAAAGTTTTGGAACAGTTTTCAAGTTGTCTATATATAATAACATATCCATTACCCTTTGTAACACTGATACACACCTCCACCTGTATGCTGAGGTGGAGCCTCTCCTTCTCCTTGCGGTCCAGAGTCCTCTTCAGTTCCTCCACCTCACCGCGAACAGAGGCCGTGCGCAGCTGGGTCCGCAGCTCCACCACTTCTTTCTCCAGGCTCAAATAATCTACACACAAGCACATCATTAGTGTTGTTAGAGCTCCTTTCTACATGTGAAGGCAAGACATGTAGAACACAGTGCCAAGGAACCTGAGGTGGCAGATGGATTGGAGAAAACAGGAAATACACTGTATGTTAGCAGTGGAATAGTACATGTACTCAAGTACTGTACTTAAATACAATTTGAGGTACTTGTACATTATTCTTTGTTATTTTATACTTCTTCTCCACAACATTCTGTCATTTCTACTCCCTTACATTTATCCGACAGCTTTAGTTACTCGTTTAATATGCGAGTAGAATATTGGCAGTATGCCAGTATGATGTAAACATGCAAACGTGTCTTGGAATTTTATAACCGTGTTTTAGTTATAACTTTTATAGGTAACACTTTATATTAAGGTACACAAATTAACCATCAACTAGTTGTTAATTAACATGCATATTAGCAGTATATTGGTCTTTATTAGTCATTATAAAACACTTATTAATGCCTTATTCTGCATGACCATATTCTACAAGTAATAAGCCATTAGTTGAGAGTTTTTAGTGCTGATTTATTGCACGTAAGGAAGGTGTTGTACATGTCTTGTTACCTCAGAATAGATCATATTTGTTAAGTGTTATTATGGGAGAATAACTATTCTTGTGGTACTACTGCCTTATTAGGCCCATATTGAGCAGCGGATAATAAGACCAAAACTCATGTACAACACCTTCCTTACGTGCAATAAATAAGCACTAATTAGAGGGTTATTGAGGAAAAACTCTGTGGGCAATCCCCACAGGAGCAATTTGGGGTGAAGTGTCTTGCCCAGGGACACAACGACATGCTGACTGCAGTGGGACTCGAACTTGATATCCTCTGATTCGAAGATGAGCGCACTACCCACTGAGCCACTGAGTCACAGCCTCCCTGACTTAAACTCAGTACCTGCTGGCCCTCGCTCCCTGTCAGCGTGTGTGCCATGTGGCGGAGCGACGGGCTGAAAAGTCTCCAGCCGGGCCCTCTGAAGCTCAGTCTTCTCCTTCTTCGTCCTCAGCAGCTCACCACGCATGTCCTCCACCTGAGGGATCATCGGCCATGTGAGCAGACACAGAGAAAAAATACATCTGGCTGTTTGACAACGGGCAAAGCTACACTGACATTTTCCAATAAGATGCTGCACTCATAGGCGGCGCGTGAGGCTCAGGTTGGGGAAGGATAAATAACTTTTTTTACGCTGCCCGCCTCCGGCGTCTATAGAAAAGAGATTAACTCAGTGAAAGCACCGCCTGCTGACCAATCAGAGCTCAGTGTGCAGAGTTTAAATCTATCAAGTCATATTACAGGATAAAGGAAATACAGTTTAAACTGCCGTGTGCAGAGAAGACGCCGACGTGTCGCTCTTATCATTCATATCACACCATCAATCATATAATATCACAATATATTTCCTTATCTGAGTCAGCTGAGCCGTATCTGGCCGTGTGGTGTAACACTTACATTGTCACATACTGTATGCAGAAGTATTATTTTAAGCAACACATTAAGTTGACGAAACACTCAACTCAAATGTAATTAAAGTCAGATCCACTCGTGTCTTAGTCAGTGATATCATAAACCTGTTATGCTTTCAAACACTCGGTAGTTTATTTTTTAACCAGTTGTTCTGTATTCTCCTTGCAGGTGCAACTAGTGGCTTGTATCCTGGATTATATGTTTAAATCATGGATGTTTAAAGTTCATATTTGTCTAATATTAGTTTACTTTTCATTAATGAAGTATGACGCTGCGCTGTCAGTACACTTGTCCCTGTTTGTGATTGGTCAAATGCTGCTAACCCCGCCCCTTTCACGTGAACGCGCTCTCAGCTGGAGAGAGAAACCTTGATTTACCGAGTTGATAACCAGCGCCGTAGGACCGCTTCGCGAGATCTCGTTTGTTAGGGTTAGTTAAGATAACTCAAACATATCCAGGGTATGTTGAACTTGCTTCGTAGTACAGGGCACAGGTGGCTGCATAGCAGCGCTAGTCAAAGACACAAACATTATACATTATATTTTTATTTTACCAGGATGCAACAAAAATATTTGGGAAGGCTTAGCCTTCCCTAGCCTACAGTACTCGCCACCCCTGCCTGCACCCTTCATTGTTTTGGCCGCTGAGGTTGACTGTACATATACAATCAGGTACAGCACACACAAACCTGTTGAGAGAGGGACTCTCTGCTATCCTCAGACTGCTCAAGTAGTCTTCTAGCTCTGTCCAGCTCCTGCTCCATCTGAGGAGAGCACAACAATAACAATGTCAGGACGATATATAATGAATTAGTGTGGTGGAAATCTATGTGTTCGAAGGTTCGGAATGAGCATCGCCTACAGTATATCATTGCAGGGTCAGGGTTAGAGCATTTCGAAGATACACTTTGAGTTAAAGCAGAACAAATATAGAGTTCAAAAGGAGCTTTATGTCATTTTCCAGAAAGGTCTAGGTAAAGATAAAAACCTTTACATGTTGCCATTAGAGTGGTGCAGAGATAACTTATTTTTGTAGGCAAATCCGGAAAGGCTCCATAGACAAAAAGCAATTGGATTGTCCAAAAATAAATAAATAAGCTCTTTGGCAAACAAATGTTTATAACACTAATATGATCTCCACATATTAACACCACTTTTACAACAGTACGGAAACAAACTAACAATAGGCTATAAATGAACAGAACTACATGTCACATCACAACTGCTAAGCTAAAGGATGCTAATGTTTGGCAGGATGACTTTGAGTAGTCTCGTTTAGTTACTCGTTAGCAATTGATTATTTATTGATGTATTTATTAGTGTCGTAGAGCAAGTGGGGGAATGTCTGAGTAGCTTTACTCGAGTACTGTACTTAAGTAAAAATGTGAGATTCTTGAACTTGAATTGAGTATTTTCACATTATGTCACTTCCTACTCTTAGCCCATCATTTTTCCGTTGATTGCCTAGCTGTCTTTTATTTCATAGATTCAAGGTTTTAGGACTCATTCCTGCACCTCTCTAAACGGTAAAATGATGCAGGGAAAAACAATGTTGGGGACGTTTAGTGCCCTAGAACTAAACATAAAATCTTGTATGCTAACCACAAACCTTGGGTTTTTTCAGACGGGGGAAGCTGGAAGGGCTAAATGCTAACTCATTTCTGCACCACTTGTTTATTGTCTAGCTGTTTTTTATGTCAAAGAACAACATTTTAAAGTTAATAACAGACCTTATTTCAAGAATCTAACCAAAAACTCTTCAAAAAAAAACATTTACTTCAAGAAGAGAAAATGGGATGTGCTAAAATGCTGACTCATTTCAAGATGTTAGGACTCATTCCTTCACCACTCTATACAGTAAAGTGATACAGGTAACACATTGGTGGAGACTTTTATTTGGCAAACTCTCATAGCTCAAATTTGTTTGACTTTTTTTAACAAAACATTCCTTTGAGAGTAAACATAATTACCTTAGATTTCTCTGCCTTGAGTAGCCTGGCTGCAACAGCCTCCTCTCTCTCATGGCCCTGAACGTTTTGTCTCCCTGAAGTCTACAAAACACAATACGCAGGCCACAGCATGTTTCAATACAAGAGCACACATTCAAGAGAAGTGTCAGGATGCAGTTAGATTTCATCACAGCAACCCCCCGTGTCGTCTTCTCGGAACAAGACCCTGGCATGGTGGTGGATTTGTACCAGTGCCTTAGATCCCACTCCATCCCACTCGTTGTGAGCGGGCTGTGATGATGAATTACCGGCTGCTAGCAATAACATCTACCCAAGTGACTCATCATCTACTTGATTCACATCACAGCGGGCCCATCGGTGGGGAATAAATGTGCCCTGTGCTCTCCCTCCTCTCCTGCTCTTTAGTAGTAAAAGAGATGATTTTCCTCGTCATGTCCTTGTGCTGTTTATTTACCCTTAATTTTTGTTGGACAAATGCATTATTTCCCACCGCCCTGGGCCCTGCTGGTGTCCCATTAGGGCACTACGGAGAAGAGGGATGCAAATGAATTGGTAGCTACTATCATTACACAGTGGGTTGCAAAGTGTGGCTCACAAGAGGTTTGCAGGGTGAATACAGCTACACAGTGCCTCTCTGTGGTCTACTAGGGAACTGCAGTAGGCGTCAAAACGTCTCAAAAAGGGTTGAAACTGATTGGCTTCAACAAAACGCTGTCCTCAAAACAACACGAAAACAAGAAAGAAATTGTTAAAACCAACAGAATTACCATTCAAACTATTATGCTGATTATGTATATGGATGAGTGCAATGTAAAAGAGCATTGATACAAGACAATGTGCTATTTACTGCGACTGTGGGCATTGAGTGCATCTAGCTGTGAGTCACTAAAGTCCACCTAATGACAGAGCTCTCAGCTATTAATGCACACCAACAAAAAAGAAAGACTGGCGTGAAATACGGGAAAGTGGCAATTGCTTGCTTAGCGACCATTTGCACCGCATCATAGTAATTGCCTAGGTGTGCTTTATAGTGTCATAAAGCAGACAAAGAGGGTGAGGTGACACAGCAGGAATGCTGCTCTAACAAACAAGGGAGGACTGCAGTGCATTAGAGGAAAATAACACTGTAACAAGGTGAACCCAGCCAACGCAGAGACATTTGGAGATCTGGCAAAGCAGCTACATCTAATTGTGTGGAAGATTACTAATCACAGCGACATATTTTGTGGCTCTGGTTGATTTATTCTCTGATGACTTGTTTGTAAAGGTCAAGCATAATCACTTAGCAGACATCAATGGAGCTTTGGCTTCCATTGTCTAACACATTAAGCTTGATTTTTAACCTTTTCTTACCAGATTTTTTTATGTGAGCATTCAAAAATGTTTCAATGTTAGTGGTCTGTTTTATTACTCAGGGAATATCCAACAGGCTTTTCCTACGTGGGTAGAAAGTATTTCTGATGGCGTACTCTTTACGGTACAGTCAAATAATGAAGTAATTGCCTCACTAGCTGGTGTAGATATAAGCGTTTGATATAGTTTACAATCACGGAACTCTAGGTAGAAAATGACTGCATGAGACCAGCAAGGATATTTAAATCACATGGCTTACATATATGATGGTGTATCAAGGCCATTGTAGGTATACAAAAACATATTAAGGAGCAGGGGGAGGGGGACACAACTCGGAGTTTCAGCTATTAAGGCGGTCAATGAATCAGAAGAAACACTTTTCTCTTAAAACTGTTTGAGGGAAAGACACTTTTGCAAATATTAAAGTCACACATTCACAAGAAAAATGTTAACACTTAGTTATTATGCCTGAATTGGATGACCTAGCATGGAGACTTTGAAGATAAATTACGTTAAGAAGGATATCCCCCGTGTTTTGTACTTTTACACCGTCTCACCTGTTATTTTTGAACAAATCTACAATGTACATCATCGAATGAACACACTGATTGTGCCAACAATATATCTGATATATATTATCTAATATTTGATGACTCATTTTGCTTCGTTTGCACGCTTTATTCTATGCAATATGCGTTTGTACCTTGCCAGTAAATTGTCATAGGTTTGTTTGGCTATAGGTTCACTTGTATTCATGCTGTATCTTACTTCCTTTTTTGTTTTCTTTGCCTTTGTATGACTTGCTTCTTTATTATAACATCAACCTGTTCAGGTAAATCTATCTCCAAACAGCCCATCGGATTTTTATGTTAATTAATATGTGTCCACGTTGTATTTTGTGAATTCATGTCATCTCTGGATTGTTTTTCAGCGTTCTCGTTGAATGTGAGAGAACACGAGAGAGTCAACAGGGAGGTGTTGGATGGAAGCATAACAGCAGATGAGTGATGAGAAGTGTCACCTCATGGAGCTCGTCAGACACGGCCACCCGCTGCTTGGGCCTTCTCTCTCGCTCCACGCCGCCTTGCCCACAATGCATCTCTCTCTCCAGCTCCTGCAGACGCCGCTCCACACGAGACGACACCTGCAGACAGTGAGACAGGGGACGGGGACACATGAGGTCACACAAACATCCCCCGGTGCAGGGATGGCAGCAGGATTTGATGAATGAGACAACAGGAAATTAAAATTGTGGGTGACAAAAGAATATATTTCAGAAACGGAGTGGAAGTAGAACATGCAAGAAACTCCCTGCCTAATAAGGAAGCTTCACATCCACCTGTAAAAGACTGGTAATACCTTTATCTGTCTGTGGACGTGACAAGATCGAAAAGATGTGGGCTGTCATTCGGAGCAGTTTATTTGTCACAGTAGTGATGGTGCGGTGAGGAGCCATGTGCCTGGAGATTATAATGAAATATCTGCAAAAGTAAGACTTCACTTGAGATAGATTTGAAAAGAAGAGGAAACCATTTGTCCGTAGCCCTTTTCTGTTAAAGCAAAAGTAAAAAATGCATATATTTCCATTTCCCTGCTTTATACATGTGTTTTCATTAGAACATGTGATGCCAAAGTTAGTGTATACCTACAATACATAATTCGCCCCTGCACCTATCATATCACCTGTTCTCATGTCATTGCATTGGCTCCCGATTCAAATAAGATCAGACTTCAAGATCTTAACCTTTCAAATCTTGCATGGACTAGCATCTCCCTATTTATCATCATTAATTACCCCGTGCAGATCTACCGGGCTCCCACGATCCCATAATGCCAGTCTCCTTTCCATCCCTTGAATTCACAAATCATCAGTAGGTGGCAGAGCCTTTTCCTTCCGAGCACTTCCCTTTGGAATCCTCTTCCCATTCAGATCAAACAAGATAATTCTGTTGATTACTTCAAAAGCAAACTCAAAACACATATCTTTGCATCCGTCTTCCTCGTCACCTAGTTTCCATCTTCATTAGCATCACTTCTGTCCTGTTTTTATCATGATATTTGTATTTAGTTGTTGTCTTTGCTTTTGTTTGCTTTGTAGAGCCCTTTGAGACATTCTTTGTGATTTGGGGCTATAATACATTTTGATTTGCTTAGTGCAAAGCCATTTTTTTTTTTTACTTACACCACAGTTTTAAAAGGCCCATATTGGAGTTGTTATTGTATTATTAACAAAGATTGTTGGTCGTTATTTCTTTCTCTAGTGGAGGCAGACAGAAGTTATGGTGCAGAAGCAAAGCTGCTGCTGTGGACGGGTGCTGCAGCAAATCATATAATAGCCACCTAAAAAAGACCAACCTCCACAAATATCAATATTAGTTGAACTGTAAGCTACCTTTTCAATATTTTCTCCACCACCCTATCATCAGACAGCCCTTTAACAAAAGACTCCATTGACAAAAACACAGATTTGTCCTTCCGCTGCTTTGATAGGTTAGTTGTCAACTGCCTACAGGACATACAAAACTGGATGTCATCAAACCTGCTCAAAATCAACAGCAATAAAACAGAGCTCATGATTGTGGCTCCCAAGACGCAGCTCCAGAAGGTTGGAGACCTGCTTCTCTCCACTGAAGTCCGCAACCTGGGAGTCATCCTGGACACCACCCTCTCTTTCCAGGCGCATGTCAAAGCTGTCACCAAATCCGCCTTCTACCACCTAAAAAACATTGCCAGAATCCGGCCTTCTCTCTCTGACTCTGTGGCAGAAACCCTGGTACACGCCTTCATTACATCCCGTCTGGACTATTGCAATGGAGTCCTGTCCGGGGTTCCCAGCTAAACCCTGGATAGGCTCCAATATGTCCAGAACTCTGCCGCCAGGCTTCTCACCCACACCAAGCCATGGCACCATATCACCCCCACCCTCATCCACCTACATTGGCTGCCGGTCAAGTCCCGGATTCAATACAAAACACTCATCCTCACGTACAAGTCCCTCCATACCCTCGCCCCCCAGTACTTATCGGACCTCCTCCATCCCTACACCCCTTCTCGGAGTCTGCGGTCCTCAGACACGGGCCTGCTCTCCATCACCCGCTCTCGCCTCCGAACTGTAGGTGATAGGGCATTCAGTGTTGCGGCCCCCACCCTCTGGAATGCACTTCCTGCCGAGATCCGTAATGCTGCCTCCCTGGACATCTTCAAATCATCACTAAAAACACACCTGTTCACCCTGGCCTTCGGGCCCTAGCCCTTTTCTGGTCCCCTGGCTTCCTTTAGTTATTTCTTTGGTTTGCCCGTTGATTGTCTGTTTGTTTTGTTTGTCCACCATGTACAGCGACCTTGGGTCCCTTGAAAGGCGCTATATAAATATCATTTATTATTATTATTATTATTGTTATTAGTAAGTGTGTGTTATCGTGTGCCTTTGGTGAATCCAGACTAAGCCTTTACACAACCATATTCACACAATAACACATACAAATATTCTCGAAATAGTAACTAATAGATAGATTTTAAGTGTCTAAAGTACATTTTGCCTACAGATCAATCCATAGTAGTAAATGGTAAATGGAGTAGATTAATATAGCGCTTTTTTTTGTTTTAGCGACCAAAAGCAAAACAAACTGGGGGCTATTGATCGCCATCTACTGTACTTACCTCACGCCAACGCACTTCACAAAGTTTGAACTGTCCCTTTAAATTCAAGTCCAGAGAGCTGAAAAGCATAGTTGAAGTACTGGTGATGAAATACACAGCTACAACTCACCGAGGCCTGTCTCGGGGAAGCGGGTGTGAGCTCTGTGAGGCTCTCCATCGCTCGCCGGGTGTCAATATCAGCCCTATAAAAAAGCAGACAAATATTCACACATCAGGGCTCTCTGTCATTTTGAAAAATCCCTTCCCATGGCATCATTGATCAAAATGTGAATGCATAATGTGACGGCACTAAAAAATAATATATATGCAGCTTCAGAAGTTGAATTATAGAGGTGGATCAATTGGGTCTGGTCAGCAGCACCGGGGAGGAGAGATTTTTTAATAATGTGAAAATGTCAAATTCTAATGCAAGAGCTGCCGCCTTTTGACTTTACAGGCTTTTGACTCTTTAAGTTTCCAATGACACTTTCATCACATTTCATCAAGGACATTTCAAAGACCTGAAAACCATGCAATTGTTTTTTAAGCTTAGTGGAAATGAAAACATAAAAATCAATATTCAGTCAGAGCAGTCAGGCCTAAATTAGAGTAGAAAAGAAAGAAAGGACTGCATAAGAGACCCATTGTACCCATTGTGGATTACTATATCAGAGTGTACAAAATTCAGTCATTTAAAATTACATTTGAATAAACTTTAAGAAACGTACAGCCTTTAAACACTGATTCATCCAGTCAAAAGGTTTTTTGTAGTTCAAATCTCTAGTTCTAATTAGTTGTCTTTTCTGAATTCAGACAAGAGAATGAACATTTCTACTGTGCATGTCCATGTCATCGCTTATTATCATTTTCTTCGCTTTAAAAATCTGGCAAAATGTTATTTTTTCTTTTTGTAGTTCAACAGATCATTTATTATTTGTGTTACCATAGCAGGTAACAAAACACTAAAAATCATCTTGTCTTGTAAAAAAACCAATAACTGGTGACTTCAGTTGTGTACGGCAACATGCTAAGTGGAGGCAAAAAAAACCTAAGAGTAGTGTTTTGATATTCAGACTTAAATACCTATTCCTCCGGAGGATTTCTCTATCCAGGTCATCAGACAGTCTCAGCTGGCCACAGTGCAGATCCCTCAAGGATTGATGCAAAACGTGAATCTAATTGAAGATACATAAAAATACACAAAAAGGATAACGTGAGCAGCCGAGCATGGTAAAAAGATGGCCATCATTTCCTTTATGGAGATGCTAATGTATGCTACCACTTTGGTAAGTAGATAAATTGCACTCCTAAACACACTATAGGCCAAAACACTAATATATACAATTACTCAATCATATAAATCTAACAAACCCATTCCTTAGATAAGCATTATAAAATCCATGTCATTGTCCCTGACTCGGTGTGCCCCTAGTGGAAGCTCTCTGACACTACATTATAGTGGTAAGTAGCACTGATTGATATTGGGTGGTTTGTCGCTCACATCCTCTCCTGGCAGGCTGGCATCTTTGAAGCGAACACCGGCGGACTGAGACCTCCGCGTCCTGTCTGGAGTGCTTGTATAGTCCTTCAGTGGAGAAGTAGGGAAGAAACGCTGGTCATCTGAAAAAACATCGATATTAAGCAAATTATTTGAAGGTGTTCTTTTCATGTTTGTTGTTGTCATTTTGGTATGTTGCTTCCCTGTTTATGTTACACCTTCAAGCAAATCATACAGAAGTAAGACGTAACTGAGAGAACAGCTGAGAGTAAATATCATTGATTTGACTCCATACCTGATCCTGAGCCAGCTTCCAGGTCACTTGTGTGCAGGGTGGAGGCTGAAGCTGAAGCACTCGGAGCTCCGTTGGTCCTGCTCACCCTCTGTGTCTGCAGCTGGCTGATGGACTCCTCCAGGTTGTCCCTGAGCTGGTGCAGGAAGGGAAAGAATCAGAGATAAAACACTAAATAACAGCATTAGGAAGCAAAAACAAGACTGGTGTAAATGATGACATTAAGAGAAAAGTAATCCAGAACATAATAAAACAAATCATATCCCTTAAAAGATCTGGAGAAGAAGAAATAAAGGAATTAGTGTTTATTTAAATGTGCATGGAAATAGAATTAACAGTAGGATAAACTCAAATATATCTTTAGTAGTATACGATTGGTATCATATCGTCCTTAAAAATGTTATGATGCACTGAAGATGTTTTATCAATCAGCTGAACAGTACAATGTCTAGTGCATTCCCACAACTATTGAAACAAAGTTACATTTTGACAAATGCTTTCTTTATCTCATCTAAATGTATTTGAATAGCTAAAATAATGTGTTTAGGTCTTTTAAACCACATGTACCTGAACAAATCTGACATCAAAACGTGGCTATATGTGCAATGGAAAGACAAGCACCTGCATCTTATTGTTACATCAACATGTAAAGAACAGGTGTCTCACCAGTGTCATGGCTTCAGCCTGATCGTCTGTATGCTCCCTGTAATGGCCCAGCATCCGGTCTACTTTGGTCAAGTTTCTACTGGTATCCTGCAAGACAACAACAGCGTTAAGTTACCAATGAAATAACTCTGGGTTTCAATGCATGTTATAAATACACAAAAAGGCTAGTGTTTAGCTTATGTGTTGAATGCTATTGAGCTCAGTACTTGTAAAGTGCTCGCCAGTGTGCTGATCTTCTCGGACATATCTGCGGGTCGAGGCTCACTCCCACCGGCTCTGCCCCTGTCCCGGCCCGGTCTGTGGTGGGCTTCACGCCCCCGACGCCGGTGCACTCTCGTCCTGTCGTATGACTCCGTTTCACTGGATGTATCCATAGTTTAGGGCAGGTTTACAGTGGAGGCGACGATAAACGGCTGATGATAGCCAGCACTAGCTTCTCCTGCAGAAAACGCTAACCGTTACCGGCTACATTAATCAGATTAACGAACAAACTGGGCTGGTTATGAACTTTTTCTACAATATATATTGTTGTCATACTTAGCAGATGTGGGAGCTTTGTCATTGTTACCGTGACAACCCGTTGAGACAGAGAGCTATCTGACCAGCAGCACACTCCAATTCAAACTGCCCCTATCAATCACTGTAGCAGGCATTGTTGTGATGCTCCTCCAGGCTAGCAACAAGTGGAAACTACTATGAACGATAGCTAGCTGACCAAACGTTAGCCAACTTATAAAGTCCTGTGAGACTCCTGTGAACTCTGCGAAACACTGCCTATGTCCAGCAGCAACAGAGCAAATAAATGCTACCTCAAGAAATACGTTAAACCAAAGCCGTTGGTTTAGTTTTGCGAATGATAGCTAACAGAGGAACAGCCTTGCTATGGCAACTTGAACTAGCCGCGTCTGAGCCGGAAACAACAACAGAAAACAGCGGCTGCAAAGGACGCTGGGAAATGTATGCTGCTGACCATGAAGCAGTGTAGGAATGTATTATTTGTGAACTACATTGTCCAAAGGAATGTGTTAGCGCCAGTCTTGCCGCTCGTCAGTTCGAAAAGAGAAGAAAGAAAAGAAGAAATAAATTAAACAAAGCAGAGGTTGTCACACATGAAAAAACGAAACTCTTAATAAACAAATGTTTTTAAAAAAACAAAGAAATGTATTGAAATTGAACGTAAAATATAAGTGGGATACCTGGCTTTAAAGACAAATAGACTACTTGTTGCTGTATATCAGAATAGGCTGCAATACAATGAACGTTTCAAGGGGGGAAAGAAAAACAAACTATTCTCGAGTCTGACACAAGAGTGCCTCAGAAGTCCACCCTCCCTAAAGTAGAAGACCACCTCCAAACCCACCAGAGCCGAAGCTGTCCGTCCTACATCATCCCCACCTTCACAACCTCACAGAAACTCCTGGGCCCCCGTAAAGAGCATAACACTCCAGCCCAGTTCCACTAACTCTACCTGAGGATTACATACCAAAAACAGACACCCTTGACTATCCTGGCTTATTTTTGTTTTAAGGTTTATATAAATGCTTGTTGTGGACATCAAGAGGACTGTCAAGAAGTTATTCTGAGCCGCCTGACAGCAAGCAGCCCTCCAGCATGCAGGTGATAACATGCGTGTTGTTTACGCTCGTCACTCTCCATGTGAGCACCGCGGCGGAGGCTGACTCCTGCCCTGCTGTCTGCGAGTGCACTGAGTGGAAAATGCACACAATCTCCTGCCGTGACATTGATATTCTCCCCAGGTTTCCAGCAGGCACGGAGACACTGTAAGTAGGCGTACAAAACGCATCTGTAAAAGTCATTTTGCTGCTTTTTCTTTCATTTGAATGTAAAGTGCTCTTAACCCCGAGGAAAAATCATTATAATATCATGAATAATCCTTCAAAGTGCTCCCGCAGGGACTTCGAGACTGTCTGTGATGTTAGCTATTCAATTTTAAAGTATTATTTTTAGTCTATTATCTGTATGACTAACAAGATATGTTAAAGTGTGATTTGGTTCATGATTTACTTGAAGTGTAGCTGGAACACTAAACGTACAAATAAGGTGTAGTTTTTAAAAAAGTACATTACAATACATTTTAATGACTGTAATGATTAATTTATTTGAACTCTTTTTATTACCTTGAATAGGAACTGAACCATTATTCCACCAGAATATAAAAAAATCATATAAAAAAACAAAGCAGGTAACTCAATAGGTAAAAAAGACAACCTGAATATCTCAAATATATTGTGGATTTTCTTTTTATTTGGGGTAGTCTTTAGTGTTTTCTTTATTTTTCATCCGTTCAATTATCATAGAACATGTACACAACATTAACTTATATCATGATCATCATATTATTAATTTCCAATGAATATTTTAATTACACATAAATGTGTAATTAAAATATTCATTGGAAATTAATAATATGATTTGATTATATGATTGATTTACTGTAGCCGTTAAAATATGAGGATGGATGGAGGGAGATTTGCAGAAGGCTCCAGGGTATTTAAAGTGTCTATTTTTTTTGGTCAACCCTATATGTGCAAATTATAGAAAAGCTAACACGTTTGGAATGATGGGCTCATTCTATTCGACAGCTATCAGACTACACTTTACACTAAATAAAGTGAACTGGATCACACTATGCCCACTCCTTAAAAAATAAATCTTTACAGTAACATCATTATGATAGCACGGTAATAATTTGTTGCCATTAGAGATGCAAGTTATATACTGTATATAAGAATTGGGTATTGAACAATTAATCGTTTCCATTAGACATTAATCTGTAAAATAGTTTTTAAAGAATAGTTTTGGTCGATAAATTGTCAGAAAATAGTAAAAATGTCCATCACAATTTATAAAAGTCCAAGTAGAGGTCTTTACATGTCTTGTTGTGTCAGTCCAAAACACACATTCTATTTATTCAGGTAAAAAATAACTAAAAGGAAATGTCCATATACAGTAGTGACATGCTTTGATGATTACTCTAACGATAAGTTGATTATCATAATAATTGGCACTTTTTGAGGATCAACTTATCAGTTAGAATTAATGCTTAAACTATAAAATGTCCGAAAATTATGATAAGCATTGCAATTTACAAGAGTGCAATATGGCATCTTTATATTGCATATTTTTTATCCAATTCAAATCTGTGCAATTTACAGTGATATACGGTGTAAATGGGAGAACAACAGAAAGTTGTATCCAAGGCCTAACACCTTCTTTAACTCATGTACTAAAAAAGAACTGACAAATCTTGTTATAACTAAAATGCTTAGGATTCTGTTAGCAGTTGGCCAAAAAAACAACAGAATTGTAAAAAAAAAAATGTATAACCAACAGCTGTTAAGTCTGCAATTTTCCTTCTTGATACTTGAGACCCTAAACTAAAGAATGCGTCATGATTCCCTGGGAGCCGAAATTATGTAATATGTCGGGGTCAAGTCTGAAAAATGTAGCGGGGCTTCTACAAATCCTAAATTGCTCAAGTCCAAGACAAAGATGATGCAACAGAGAGCGAGCGGCCTTGAGTGATGGAAACACATGCCCTTTAGAGGGACTCGACCGCATATGTGGAAACATAGAACTCAAGGAGGTAGAAGGGGGTATTTCCATTAAATAAAAATTGGGCTTTTTCTAGAATTTAAAATACTTTTCTCTTTGATTCTCTTACACAAACATTTCTCAGAATCACTCATGTGGGGCTCACAAATGTCCTGCGCTGTGTTATGATAATGATCATTCCTTTCTTTCAGTTTATCAGAATACCCCTCCATCCACTTTGAATTGCCTCAAAAAGCACCCATCACATAAAATTATCTCCCGATCACTGACCCAATTCACTTGACCACATGCCCCGATGTCCCCTTAGACTTCCTCACATTCCTGCCCAGTTTACCCAGAGCCCTCCAGGAGGATAGATAGACATGAAAGCATGCCACCAAGCTAATGATAAAAAATACCTGCCAAATAAGCCCAAAATAGACTGTAGCGGCCAAAATCATATAGAAATAAAACAGATAATTAACTTAAAATAATATCTGAGGCAGTAGTTAGCAGATCTTACGCAGGGGAATGATCCATGTCCAGACAAGAATCTCCGTTTTGCATTTATTATGATCCAATATCATTGACAATGAACAGGTTTCCTATGGTTGGTTCCTTTAAGCCTTTCCTATGGCTTTCCTTTCTTGTGGTTGGAAAACCCTGGTAAAAAAAACGTTTGCCTACTAGTGCTCTGGCTCCCACCACCCACCTGTCTCCAATATATACAATCACACCAGGTGCTCTAATCACCCAGTGCCCAAACATGCCTTCAAAATAAAAGCATAGAAACTACTTTAACTTATGACACTAACTAAGAATATATTTACAATAAACACTATAAACAGCAAGAAAATAAATGTTAAACTATTAAATAATATAAAGAGATATATAGCTCCAACATAGACTGTGTATTAAGCGGGATCTTCTAGCAAATGAGGCATGAGGGAGATTTAGTTGTTCACACAATGAGGAATGAAGCCCAGTTCAGTTCCACTGATGCCAGCTAGGCCAGAATTAAAGTCTCTTACTTAGCCATGAAGATTCCAGGTTTTGTTTTGGAGAGTGCACAGTCAAGTACAGAAAGCATTGTAAAAGCGCCAATTTGTTGTTTTTAAACGTTGCTTACTGTATGGATTAAGCACATTACATATAGAGTGCTGCAGGTTTAGACTATGTATTTTTTTATGGGATTTGGGGATTTTTGATTATTGCAGAAAAAACGTCTTGTGGCAAAACAAAGTTTGTGATACTTAAAAGTTTTGTCCAGAAAGATAATCTTCACAAATGAAAACAATATTTTAGGTTCTATAAAGTAAAAGCCATAGTTTTTCTATCAAACAAATGACATCACAGGCGCATGACTTCAACATCAATGTCATAGAACAAAAACATTTGTGTTAACCTTAAACCTTTTTTCAGACATATAACCCAATCAAAAACCATTGACTTTCTGGACGTTAGCTAAAATCCTAACTAATGTATTGGTTTTAAGACTCATACCTGCTGCTCTCCATTAAGTATTAATGTGCTACTTATCGATGTGTTAAAAGCCAAAATGACCTACCTCTGGACAAAGCTGGGATAGCTGTTACCACCTGTTTGCAGTCTGTGTACTAAGATAAGCTAAATGAAGCTGGTTGCTGGCTCTTTAACTATATTTAGCGTATAAATATTAGCATGCTATCTTCTCAGCTAACTGTCTGCCAGAAAGCAAATACGCTTCATTCCAAAACGAATACCTTTTAAAACTTTGTTTCAACATGGGTAGAGGTCAGTGCTCTCAAATTGCTTTAATATTCCTACTCTATCAATACAATCTTTTTGAAAATTTCCCATCGGCAAAGCATTTTATTAACATAAGAGTTTGGTTAAAATATTTTGTAAATATGAGACTATGTGTTGTATTCAAAAAACAAAATGCAAAGCAGACGTCTGTAGGCTATGTATGTGTGCATGTGTGGACACTTAAAGATTGGAGTCCTTTGTGTGCGTGTACTTGTGGATGTTACTCCATGTGTCACTGGGAGTCAGAGAGGTGGAAAGGAAAGCACAGCCGCGCTTAAGAACCTGCGTAGCGTGACACCCGACTGCGTCTGGTCCTTTGGATAAAAGTATCTAACAAGTGACATGTAATCTAACAAGTGACATGTAATGTCTGGACGATGCATTCAAATACAATATTTACCTTTTACAGCACATTTCTCAAACACCTGGAGAGCTCCATTTGAGAATAATGAAAAAGGGGGGGGAAGACGGGAAAACACAGCAGCTCCAGTCTTTCAATAACCTCAGCATTTTTTAATTGGAGTTTAAACATGAGATAACTGGTTATTTTTGTCGTC